GAAAAATACGCCCAGTGTTGCCAGTAGATCTTCGCCATTGTTTCATCCAAGCAACCAGTAGCTCCTCATCGTCAATCTTCTTATAATTACTGTAGTCAGCGATATTCACATAAACATCACCAGAGTTCCACAATCTTCCCATATCGGACACCGCGAAATCAATCAGAGAAGTATCGTCGCCTCGCCAGTACATTTGAGACCACGAGTAAGTACCAAACCGCACACCACCGACTACAGAGGGTGATGTGGTCTTAGTGATGACCTCGTTGTTCGACGGTGTCGTCGTGGGACGCTGCGTGGTTCTGAGGTTACTTCGTGAGGAAGGCTTCTCATAAGTGGTAGTCGTCTCACGTGACGTAGTCACCGCAGTTGCTGTCGTAGCTTTTGGGCGAGCAGAATATGTGGTTGTCGACATAGGATCAGTTGTGACCGACGTAGTGCTGCACGAACAGGGAGTCCTCGTGCCAAGACAAAGTTGAGGACTATTCCAGTATTTGCAGTACGAACCAGTGAGCAAAGATGCACAGAAGGCATCACCCTGCGAGCAATCCGTCGCTCTAACTTCGCCAAATGTGATTAGAGTCAACAGAACCAAAAATGTGGTAGAGCGTGAGAAGACTGAGGAAGTCATAGGGGGAAAACGCAATCTCCAGAGCTAAGGCTGTGACAACGGAAATCCACCGTGATACCGCACCCGAGGGAACTTGATGATAATTAGCCAGAGACTATTCAAAGCGATAGCGCGCTCGCTTAAACATCCGCAGATCCGACGTTGTAGATTACATGCAGCAATGAAAACATTGTTCATTCGTCATGTACGACGAGACCCAACATTCAAGCAAACGGACCGGGGACAGCTCGACACAAAATGTAAAAGCTACGCTGGTCGGCCTGCAAGAGATCGCCACTACAGGTTTGATGAGGCAATACGTCATTATCAATGGAGTATATTCTCTCCGCTGTGATTGAGATGGATCTTTTCGGGTGAGGGGCCAAATGACTCCTAAACACTCATCGAGGAGCACGAGGATCGCTAAGCTGTGCGGAGGAAGCCACGCGAGCTAAATACAGGACATACATTCGGGGTGGTCATAGCTGGCTGTTGAATCCTAATGCTAATAATAGTCTCTTTGATAAGTGCAACGGATACAAAACATCCCAATGTGTAGAAGTTAGTCCCGAGTGATTCTGACACCAGAGTTACTGGGTTCACGCAAAAAGTATAGACTCATGGTCATTATTGACCAAGAAAAGTAATATTAATGACAGGAGTTGACTCTTTCAAAGAGAGACGTCGCATGACTATTAAATATATATTAATAATATAACCGTAAGGGAGGAGATAAAAGTATCATATATAAATCTATCTAGTGTATTTATCAATAATATATACTAATATATTCTAACAATAGAACAAGCTGTTACATTTGGGCATGCCTGATAATTTCCCTGGTTCGCATAAACACATTTCCGATTCGAATTTCCAGGCTGTAACCCGGATGTCTCACACGAAACGGATGGTCCAAATGATGTCATAACGAGAGCTTACGATTCATCGGTGATAAAACCGTATGGATACCACACCAACCCCCTTCACCCACATAAATTGTCTCAATTAGTTCCTCGTTCGAGATTTGCACAGAATTCAGGTTTTCTACTAACTTGGAACCGATACCCCCGAAAGAATGCCACTGTTTCCTGGACTTTCCTTCAACAGGTAACCCGACAGTATAACCAATTACAGAAAATGACTCCCAAAAGAGCAAGGGAGCTCATCATGGGAAACGATAATCAAGAGCGAGAAGTCTGCTTAGTGAAAAGAGAAGATCATTTTCTAACATTCAGAAAAAAATCGATCGTGTCAAGGCACTTATGTGAGGCCTCTTGCATTTTATTATATGATGAACAGTTCATTCTGTTCGGCACTTGTTCGCGGAGGTGTGGTATTCATGAAGACAATTAGAATACCCCATCTCGCGAGAAAACTTATCGCTATAATAACACCTAACCCATTCCCAGTCATGAATAGCAAACAAAGAACCGTGGATGTCGAAGAGGAAGTCGAACTGCTCTTGTGTGAGAATACCATCAGAAACCGTACGGGCCTTCAACTCGTTGAGCAACTCCCATGCATATTCAATACCACCAGTGGAGTTGGGATAAGCTGCGGCATCGTAAGCACACATAGAAAGCTTGTGGCAGTATTTACCAACAGTGCAAGAACCTTCCAACATGATGGTGATCTTGGCCTTCAAGTTCTCCCATCCTGGTTGAGTACACACAGCACACTGTTCTGTCATCATATAATTCATACGATAAACGAGATCATCTGC